GCGCCGCATGACCGCGGCCAGCCCCTGCAGCAGCTCCCGCCGCAGCTCCCCCTGCAGCTCCAGGCAGCGCAGCTGCTCGCTCAGTTGCCAGCGCATCTCTGCGGGGGAGCGCGGCTCAGGCCCGGCCTCAGCCCTGCTGGCCCCGGAGAGGCGGACACACCCAGACACGCCTGCCCGTCCCCAAGGCGCTCCATGCCTAGACAGGCTAAGAATGCGAGCTAAGGGAGGAGGAAGGGGCCGGGCCTCTACAGAAAGTTCCAGGCTCACTGGGCGCCATGGCTCACGCCTGTCAGTCCAGCACTCTGGGAGGCCGAGGTAAGAGGACTGCCTGAGCCCAGGGGTTCGAGACCAACCCAGACACCATGGCGAGACCCTGTCTCTACAATAAATCCAAAAATTAGCCGGGCGTGGTGGCATGTGCCTGTTGTTAAGGCAGAAGGATCGCCTGAGCCCAGCAGGTCAAGGCTGCACCCCAGCCTGGATGACAGAGTGAGACTCCAACAGGAGAGAGAGAGAGAGAGAGAGAGAGAAAGAGAGAGAGAAAGAGAGAAAGAGAGAAAGAGAGAGAGAAAGAAAGAAAGAAAGAAAGAAAGAAAGAAAGAAAGAAAGAAAGAAAGAAAGAAAGAAAGAAAAGTTCCAGGCTCAGCAGTCCAGCTGGGCTCAGGGAAGACTCCTGGGGAAGGGACCTCTGTACCGAGGTTAAGGGGAAATGATCAGATTCAGTTGGTTGAGGGGAAGGGGAAGGGTGTCCCAGTGACCGGGAGAGCCATGCAGAGGCCCAGAGGTGAGAGGGAGAGAGGCAGGTGACGCCAGTCACGACAGGAGGCACACTAGGCAGCCCCAGCCCCGTCTCGCCCCGCCGCCAGCCAGGCACCTTTCGGTTTGGCTTCCCGTCCCTCCCTCGTTTCTGGAAAGCCCCTGCATGGCTTCCCCTGCCACTTCCTTCCCTTCGGGTGCCCAGGACCCTGGAAGCGGCAGCCTCCTTTGCAAACCACAGGTCAACAGGCTGCTGGGCAAGGTTGCTGCAGGGGACCACCGAGCCTGCAGTGAATTCTCAGGTCCAGGCGGAAGGACAGCCCCGCACAGTGTGGCTAACGGCCAGCGTGAGCAGACTGGCCCCGATGAGCGGAGGACGGAGGGGCTGCCTGCGTCTTCTGTCCCCAGTCCGCGCTCCGGTCACCCACCCCCTCCCGGCAGAGGGCCACACCCCGGGCCCCACACTGCTGGCCTTTTGACACCTTATCAGTGACTGGATGTGGCAATACCGCCTCCCCCACCCGGACCTAAAGCAAAGGGCTGCCTGTCCGACACACTTAAGCGATCCGCGGAAGCCACCTCTGTCACCCGCTGAGTGCCCAGGTGAGCACTGGGGATCCTGAGGAAATAAGCCACGGTCTGACAGTAATTGATTGCTTCACTCAGCAGAATGTTGATTATGCACTCGTTTGGTGGCAGAGGGTGGAGCAGGTGCCTTCCCCCCCCCCCCCCGAGACAGCCCACCAGGCAGGATCAGAGGGGGGGCCCTTTTGGAGGAGGGTGGTCGGGAACGAGTAACATTGCTGAAGCAGAAGGCCGTGCTGCAGGGAGCGGGGGGCCGGTGAGAGCAGACGGCACTGAGCCCGTGGTCTGGGGGGCCTCTCAGCTGGACTCCGAGTGAGAGAGGCCGCAACAGTGGAGCAGTGTGGTCCGGCTGTTTTCGAGACCTCCTTCCGTGGAGCCTAGGTGGCAGCCACTGCACTGGTCCAGGCAAAAGATGGCAGGGGTTCAGTCCAGCGAACCAGCACGGAGGCAGGACCCCGCGTGGCTGCCCAAAGGGACTCTGCCGTGAACAGCTCAGCATCATTGCATTTCTGCCCAGCCGGGGATCTCCCGGGGGCTGTGCCTGCCCGGGTCCCCACCTCTTGCAGAACGTGCAGCCCTCTGACTCCAAGTGCTCAGCCCCGGCTACCCGCAGCAGGCCCCGCCACCCCGCCACTCCCAGCCCCGCGAGCTGGCGGGGTGATGGGCCAGGGGCTCCCATCCTAACCCTTCCGCCGGAGTGCCTGAGTGGAGCACTCTTTTTCCTCCCAGGGGTCGAGCCGGGTACCTGGAAGCCCGGGGTGGGAGGTACTTCCCATTGGTGCAACCAAGGCAGAGCAGGGCACAGCCCGCCATGCCAAGTGAGGGGTGGAGGGTGTCCTCATCGCATCCCAGAAGGCCACCTCCAGTGGCTGAGTCGGGAGCGCCGAACGCCAGGTGGGGTCGGGGGGAGGACGCTAATGCCACTCAGAATCAGGAGAGACTTCACCGAATCAGGGTAACGGTTTGGGGATAAGAGTAAACTTCATTTCATTCCAAGAAAGGTCTCAGATGACCGGGCTTGCAAGAGCTGACTGGAAGCCATGGCATTCCCGGATCCAGACACGCACCCTGGCCGAGCGCGCAGAGAGCTGATGCCCAGGACCCAGCCTCTAGGCTGTGCACGGTCGTGCTTTTAGATCTCAGCTCAGACACAAACTGCTCAGAACCCTTTCCTGACCGCCCCGCAAAGTAGGCCTGGCCCCCTTCCCAGCCTTCTCGGCACCCCACCTTTGCCTTTGTGGCCGCCATTTCCATCATTGACACTAGTGGTGTGACGGGCTGCTCGCTACTCTCCCCTGTGAGACCCGCGAGCCTTAGGAGGACAAGGACTGCTCTCCTGTCCAGCACTGCCTCCCCGGGGCCTGGGACAGACCAGATGCTTACAGAACATCTGGCAACGGAGTGCCGGACCCACGAATGCCTGCGTTTCAGAGCCGGGCCCAGGCCCCCGCCAGTACTTCCTGTGCGAAGGCATTCGGTCTCACTTCTGCCGACAGCAAAACAGAAGAGAAGATGGCCTCCCGAGCCACGCCCATGCTGACCTTTCAGAATCTCGGTGTGGACGGTGACCCTGCTTTTGTAGCATGGTAGGAAGCATCTAGGGATCGTGGCGGGAGGAGAGAGGCTAACGACCTGGAGACCCAGAGCAAGCAAGGAACACCGCAGGCCGGCTCCCTCACAGGCCCGGTGCGGTGTCCCAGTGGGAACGAACTGACCCCCACTCGCCGCTTGGAGTCCCGAGGCCTTCCGCTTCCTGACATTTTGGGGAAGCAGCTTGGGGTCATTACCTCCACCAGAGAGTCGGCCGAGGCCGGGCTTAGAGAGCTGGCTCATCCATGCAGTCACCTCAAGCTGGCTCTGGACACAGGCTGCCTCTCCCAAGGGGGGAGGTCTGGGGCAGATTTGGGTATAAATGGCTTGCACTGGACCATCATATTGGAACCTGCATCTCTGGGTTGGAAAGTATCGCATTTCCTTCTACCTCCTAGGAGCTGTAGTGCTGTGTGACCACGGGCAAGTCCCTGCACCTCTCTGAGCTCGTTTCTGTTGTCAGTAAAACAGAGCCATTGAAAGTGATATGGGGTCGGATATCTGAAGGCACACGGGAGCAGCTGGCCTTCTTTCCTTTGCAAGAGTCACCATGCCCTGAATGAGACCAGCACAAGCGGTTGGCACAGAATTTGCAAAGCTGATTTGCATGTGATTTGCACAGGAGTGTTTATCAGAACCCGAAAAAATGTAATCTCAGAAGGCTGCGATGCCAGCCCTGTTGAATCTCTCCACCAAGACTCACTCCCCCAGCTTGACCCAGAGACAGCAGCCCTCACCTCAGAACCAGCTCAATGCCCTAACGCCACTCCCGCCCCTGGAGCCCTGGCACCTTCCTCACTCGTCTCCCTTACCGGTGCCCTACCGCCTCGGCAGTCGAGGTGGCCGATTTCACTCTAAAGCACCACCTCCTCGGGGACATCTTGACGCACCCAGTCCCCCCTTCCTTGAGGCCACCAGGGTCTCTACGGAGCTTGAGTGAGGAACAGAGAGATCAAAGGCCGGAAAGGAGGAAGGAAGGGGGTGGCAGGCGGTTGAGGCCAAATGGGCACAGAGAGGTGGCCAGGGGCTCAGGCTCCCCCCTCCACCCCATCCAGAGGTCGCTGGGGAAGCAGCGGGCCCTGGGCCAGTGGCAGGATGCTTCAGGCCCCTGCACGACCCTCAAGGGCTGCGCAGAGAACCAGGACAGGCGTGCCAGCGCCCTCTCACCTTTGACTTGCGTCTCATACTCAGTCTGCAGCCCCCGCTCCCGCCGCAGTTTCCCGTGTGCGGCCATGGCGGCCAGGTGGCCGCACCGTCGAGCCCCGCTGCTCCCACGCGGCCGCAAGCGGGTTGGGCGCCGGGACCTGGGGTTCCTCGGCCAGCACCCGGCGCCAGCTCCGCCCACCCCCGCCCCCAGCGCGACTCCCAGGGGGGCGGGGCGGCCCAGG